AAACCCCCCTATTCTCCCTTCTTCTTCCCCTTCAGACAAGAGTTTCCTCTGTTCCATTACTTTGTTTTGTTCTTTTTCTGTTTAAGGATTGGATTTTACCAAGAAAATATGGATTTTGTCTTCTCGACGGTTAAGATGGTCTCTGTTCTGGTTTTCAGTTTTGTAGCTTCGAATGGCCTGGTGGGGTTTGGATCAGATGCACAACTGTTGCCGGAAGCGGAAGGTATGCAATGAACTTTCATTTGAATTTTGAAGTTATTGTTTATATGAATTTGCTGTGTTTGGTTCCCCAGAATTTGATGGAAATTAGAAGAAAGTTTATGACTTCCGTTAAGTGTTTTTTCATTGCACTAACAATCTAAATTCTTGGTGTAACTACTTCTTTAACATTTTCCTTTTGTTTGTAATGGTTGGTTGTTTGAAATTCTTTGTTTGGTTGCTTTGAATCCCCAGGAAAAAAGAGAAGAAAGTTTGATTCTAAAGTCTTAATCAATTCTTTTCTCTGTTCAACTTGATGAGCGTTTTAGAATTCTCTTGCTTAATCTTGATAAGCTAAGTTTAACGTTGTTTGGTTGATGAGAAATTGTGGGAAACGTAAAGATACAAAATTCCTGGGTCTACGCAAGTACACTGCTTTCAAAACTACTGAAAATGAAGTTTCATTAAAAAACTAAAATTCATGATCAGTTTGTACCCTGAAAACTGTTGAAATGAAGGGTTCTTTTCCCAGGACAATAAAGGATTTCTTTTCTCCTTTTTTTTTCTCGGCAACCAAACAGGGGATTAGCACAGTTACTTCTTTTAGATATTTTAATTGCTTACTTCAAGGACATTTTTTCTTTTTCTTTTTTCGCATAATAAGTATCCTTGGATCTTGATTCCCCTTCTCAATTCTTATGCTATTTTCACAATTCCTCACTGCTTGTTGCAATGTCACTTTCATGGGTTTCATTTTCTTAATAAATCAGTAATTGTCGCTGGAAAAAATTTAAAATAAAAAAATCACTTTCAGTCAAATATTAGTGTGTTAACAGGATAAAGATTGTCACTGAACTTTGATCTAATCTAGCTTTGTTTCCTGCATTCCGATGTTAAGATTCATCATTCTATTGATTTAAAGTGAAGAGTCAGTCAACTATCGTTCTAATCCACTGCTTTAATTTCTGTGGTGGAGAAATCAGAAACCCCCATATCTGGCATTGCATTATGGCATGGTTTTTGGATGCTACTGTTAAAAAATTATCTGAACATTATTCATTCTTGGCCATCTTCTCACCAAATTTCTTGTCCCTTTTCTTTGTTGGAGCTATGCTATGAAAGCTGAAAATACAATGAAATGAGATCTGCTAAATGATGGTGCAACATGACTGCACAATAGCAGCAAAGTGACAGAGCATAGAGCTTCACATGGGCTACAAGAAATGGCAGCAAACTTCATAATTTTAGTCAATGGTTTAGGTAGTTAATAATTATTGTATTAAGCAAAAAAATATCATTATTTTATGTGTAGCCTTCCTCTATAAAAAGGAAGGAAGAAATTGATGAAAATTGAGAGAAAGAGAAAGCACGGTTTCCACTCTCCAGTTAGCTGAATGTTTGCACCCTTCCGTGTTATGGCTTTTATGTTTTGTGTTATCTTGTGTTGTTTCTGCTACAAATAGCAAAATATCAATGGAAGAAAATGGGTTCGACCTCACCAATTGAAGTAACTCCACAGTGACTCTTTCCTTCTCCTCCAAGTCCTCTCTCAAACCCCCTTTTAACACCAAAGCTTCAACATGGTATCAGAGTTGAATTCTTGAGAGACCTGTGAGAGTTTGTTTGTTGAGGGAACACTAGAAAAAACCCCACCTTTCTCATTGTTTTTAGACGGTTCTTCACATGAAACCCCTCTTGCTTGGCCAAAATCTTGCAGCAAAAAAGGCTGTGAAGATGGAGGCATATGTTAGTCCCACCATGGGAGATGTCAAGGAGAGGAAAGCTAGATTCAAAAAGAAGGTGTTCATGTTTGTTTCAAAAATCAGTCCAAAAGGCAAATCATGGTTGATGGAATGGGAAATTGAGCACAAAAAACTCAGTTTCATGAATGTTTGATGGAGAAGCAGCCAAGACCAAGCGCAAAATCACAACTTCAGAATGTACTGAAGCAGCAAAAGATCCATAGACAAAGCTGCTGCAATGCTGGAGTTATTGAAAATGTTTAAGGCTCCAGAATTTGTTAAAACAACAAAAATCTAACGAAGAAGAAGTTGATTTGCAGGAGGAACTGAAATATTTGAGAAGATGGTACTTGGTAGCAAACAACAAACCAAACCAAAGCACAAAGAACTGAAAATGGAAGATGCAATGAGCTAAAGTAAAATTTTGTTTCTGTAGCTTTAATGCCAAGGAGGAGTTTGTTGGAGCTATGGCAAGAAAGCTGAAAATACAATGAAATGAGATATGCTAAATGATGGTGCAACATGACTACAAAATAGCAGCAAAGTGACGAAGCATGGAGCTTCACATGGGCTACAAGAAATGGTAGCAAACTTCATCATTTTAGTCAATGGTATAGGTAGTTAATAATTATTGTATTAAGTAAAAAAATATTATTATTTTATGTGTAGCCTTCCTCTATAAAAATGAAGGAAGAAATTGATGAAAATTGAGAGAAAGAGAAAGCATGGTTTCTCCTCTCCGGTTGGGTGAATGTCTGCACCCTTCCATGTTTATGGCTTTTATGTTCTGTGTTATCTTGTGTTTTTCTTGCTATAAATAGCAGAATATCAATAGAAGAAAATGGGTTATGACCTCACCAAAAGACGGAACTCTGAGTGTCTCTCCTTCCCCTCCAAGTCCTCTCTCAATCCCTCCCTTCTTACCCTCAAAAAACCAACATTCTTCCTAGCAATATTCCATTGTAGGCCATATGCCCTTTGCTGTTTTTATCTCTATGAGATCACTTGATTGAGAAGTATTAGGTGGTTTTCTGTAAAATGATCAATTTCAGTTGTCTTTGATGGTAATGCCTAATCCTAAAATGACCTTTTAAGTATGTGAACGCTATTAGTAGAAACCAGCATGACGAGTACGACCAATCTGATTATGCTAAATTACCTGTCAATTAGGAATTTGATATGGAGAATCTGAAAATTTTTATTTGCATAAGTTCTCTCTATTGATGGTATGTTTTTCTTTTGCTTCTTCTGGCGGCAGATCAATGTTAAGAATGGGGACAGCTTTTAATGTAATTCCACTTTAGTTTATTGTAATTCTTAATAACACAGTTGAGCTGGAATTAGGTTTCTGTTGTGTGTTGTTTGTTTTATTTCTTGAAATCATGCGAATATGTTTGACATTATAGTGTGAAATGGGCATCCTCAATTCTTACCATGTTTCTTCTCGGTCAAGTCTAAGGTATTTAATATGGCTTTTGAGCTTTTGGTCTAAGATGGTTTGCCATAATATAAAGCTTGAGGTGGTCAAATATCATGTGCTTCCAATCTTTAGGCTGACCCTCTATTATCGAAACATTGGCATTCACATTAAGATATTTTTTAAGGTGCCTAGCTGCTCGCTTTAGATTTTGTTGGCTAAACATGATGTCTTTTGTCTTTATTACTTTTAATAACTTGTTATTAAGCTAATGATATTAATCAAAAGATTGCTGTTTG